CCCTAGTCAGTTTCATATTAACCACACTTAAAGAAATAAGCTCTTCAGTACAAAATGGTTTCCCTTAAAATCTTAGTTATCTTTGAGGCTAATTGTTGGTATTATTTATTCACTAAAATGACATTTACTGAGCACTTACTTTGTGCCACGCACTGTTCCATATACTAAAGATGGAGCAATGGACAGGCAGAGGAGATCCTTGACTCATCAAGCTTAAATTCTGGAGGGCAATCACTTCACAAGGAAGTACACAAGAGGAATTGAGAACTCAAGTCCTGAAAATGCCAAAAGGAAGAGACAAGCAGGGTACAAAAAACAGTGACTGTGGGACTGAGGGTGTTAATGTACATAAAATTACTCATGGAATACTTCTCTGAAGAGGTGACATTGAGCAGAGACTTAATGAAGTGAAGTAGCGAGCCATGGGAAGGTCTGGGTGAAGCATTCCAGGTGGAGAGAACCACATTGAGTGTGTCCCAAGGGGGAAGCATGATTGATACATTCCCGGAACTGCACATGGTGATGAGGCTGATGAAAGCCAGGGTATCACGGTCTAGCACAGTCATATTCTCGCAAACTGCCGAGGGTCTTATCACCTGTATAATCAGAACAACAATGGTGGCTGGTCTATTGTGCATTTAGAATGCATCAAATGCCATGCCATCAGTGCATTGTCTAGCTTGTTTCCCATAATGGTCCTGTGAGATAAGGATCTTACACATAAAATGAGGTCCTAAGAAATCTGACTTGCCCAAGACCACATACTGAGCAAATGGTGGAGCCAAAATTTATGCCCAAGAAGTTTAATTTCAGAGGTTATATTCTTATCTGAGCAATTTCCACAGCATCACACTATGAATCAACGGAATGATCTTTAAAAGACAGATTTAGAAATGTGAGCAGAAAAATGTGCTTTGGGAACAAACATAAAATGTTCTCAAGTACTTATCTTTGAGAGCATGGTTTCCTTTATTACCTATCCACAGATACACAAAATCAAAAACTTCATTGGTTGACAGAATAGAAAGCATTCTTGTCATCATGTAAATAATAAAAAAAATAGATTCACTAATAAGAGTTTTTCCTTTCAGGAATGCAGGTTTAAGCCTTTGAAAATGCTGATCAAAGCAATAAGTTAAGTTCTGTTTCTTCAAATTGATGAAATATTAATTCATCAGAATTGCAGAGATGTGCCTAATATTTTTTGAATAGAATTTGGGATAAGAGTAGAAATTGCTTAGATGATCTTTTAAATATGATTTTAATACTAGTGAAGAAAGCACATAGTATTGAAATTTGAGCCGTAAAATGGTTCATTGTTTAAACCAGTTACTCTTGCCTGGATTCAGCTGTTGACAGTTAGATACTGAATCATTTATATCTGAGAATAGATAAATTGGTAAATATAGAACCCTTTCCAGATTGTGATTCTGAATATCAATATGAATGTTAATATTTTACAAATATTTATTAATTTAATTTTATTTATTATTTATGTTTTAATTTGCTATGGGGCATGTGCACTCATGAAAAAGAGAGAAAGAGAGGGAAAGTGAGAAAGCAAGCCACCAGGTCAGGAACTCCAGTTGTAGTCAGTCATGTGAGAGTCCAGTGACTTAGCCACCAAGCTACCTGCTGGCCCTGAGTATTAATATTTTAATAGGTCTTATGAAAAAGCTATTTACTTATTATGTGGAAAGATGACCTGAGTGTCATATGTTCGGATTTGAAAATGTATGTTAAGAATTATAGCAGAGGGCCGATGGTTAGGTAGACTGGCTCTCACATCTCACATGGCTGGCAGCATAGTTTGAAAATCATGCCAGGTGTGTGTGTACACGCATCCAAAATCTCAAGAAGAGAATAGAAGAGAAGGGATTGTGACTTGGTCGTCCCCTTTTCGGGGGTGATTTCTTACTTTCCCTTTTTCTTTGTCTCTTTGGCAATCACATTTACTATATAGCAAAAAAGGGTAAAAAAAGGAATTATAGCAGGAAAAACAGGTAATTTAATGGCATTTTAATGCTGTACACTTCAGCTTTTACGTATACATTAATTTATACATTTTTTAATCATGTAAGTATGTCCCTAAGAGCTATGTCTTTGTACTATACTCCCTTTAAAATAGTAACCATTGAATCATAGTTGTCCAATATGATGTTTGGTACATAATAATCCATTTATATTTATTAAATTAATGAATGAATGCATTTCTTAATTAATTCATTGTGTATGGATATTTAGCAAATATGTAGATGCAAAATATCTGTCATCTATGAGAGAGTCTTCAAACGTCCATTTGAAAATGAAATCAAAGTATGAGTTTATTTTGATGAAACAATATTTTGAAATCCATGCATAGTTTCTTCCACAAACTTTCTGAATTACACACTTGCATGCACACACACACACACACACACAAAGTTAAGCAGATATAACAAAGAACCCACAATATAGAGCTTCCCTGAAAAGCCTATTTCTCTTCAATAGTTGGTGAGTATCCAGCCAAAGTAGGTGACTCTGCTCTACAAGATCTTCCAGGAAAGGAAGGTCTTCCAGCCTGTTGGGTTGATTGTACCTGTCATATCCTTTACAAACCTTCTATTTCTGATCCAAAAAAGCTTGCTCTAGTTATTCCATTTCCAGGCCAGAGGAAATTATAAAGAGTATCCAGGAAAAGTTTATTTTATTGAATGTACCAAAAGCTACCTGAATCTCTTCCTTCTACAGCCCATAGGTCTGGGCCTAGTTCACTAAGGACACGTGGCCTCAAATGAGGTAGGAAGTAGAGTCTGTAGCCCCAGGAAGCCACTTGCTAGACTACATTCAAAAAGTCTCATTGTTTAAAAGAAGAAGAACAAATGGATATCATTGTAGTAGTCTCAGCCAGAAGTAAAGACTCCTTGACAGAAGGTTTTAGGGTATTTTCCATTTCCTTATGAATGTGTAGTAAAAGAAAGATTTATTTTATGAGGCAATATAACTAATATTGAATTAAAGGTTTCCTTAGGTATTTGAACAGTAGAAAAATGAAAATTTTAGTTTGACAATATGCACTAGTTCATACCATTTTCAGTAATCATGATATGTTAAGACAATCAGTTACCATTATTTTTCTTCCTTCATTTATTTGCGATTTACTGGGTTCTTGCTACATGGCAAGCACCGTGTTACCATGGTATCTCAGTTAGTCTATAATTATGTTTTGTCTTTAGATACTCCAGTTGAAAATCTGATTTTTATAAAATACTGTGAAAATGGTGTTTTAATATGAATTTATTTAACATTCAGTGTAAATAAATGATCAAGAGTATATGATATTCTTTCCCCTGATAGGTTCTTCGGGTAGTCCGGCTTATTAAGATTTCACCTGCATTAGAAGACTTTGTATACAAGATATTTGGTCCTGGAAAAAAACTTGGGAGCTTGGTTGTATTTACTGCCAGCCTCTTGATTGTTATGTCAGCAATTAGTTTGCAGATGTTCTGCTTTGTTGAAGAACTGGACAGATTTACAACATTTCCAAGGGTAAGAATAAAAAATGCAGTCAGTTTTATTCCTTATGCTTATTTTAGTAATAATGATTAGCATCAAGTAATTTCACTTTCACAGTGGTTCAAAAATATTGTCATATTTTTAATAGCTTGGGATAATTAAATTTTAATATTTAAAATGGTCTCTTCTGAGGGAGCAGGTGTTTGAGCACATTTTCACCACTGTCAGATTATACATCAATTATAAAATTTTGGAAATAATGGGATAGAAAGAGATGCTCAGTAAAAAATCTAAATTTGTCATTTTCAACACCTATAAATTAAAATATAGCAGAATTTTTAATATGAAGTCTGCACTTTTGTATTTGTGAGAGCTAACATTTTTAAATCTTCTCTATGGTATATTTTGATGTGAGGCATAATCTTGAAGGAAGATTTTGAATTTTTTTTTAATTGTTGATGGTACATGTGCTTCCCAGAGAGAGATGGAGACAGAGAAGGAGGGAGGGGAGAAATCACCCTCCTTGGGACATGGTCACGTCCCAATTCTTTTTTCTCCATTTCTCCAACATATCGGAGTTTGGGGTATGCATGCACACCCATGCACCTGATGTGATTTTCAGGTTTCTGGAGCTGGGATTTGAACCACAGTTGGCATGTGAAATCCAGCTCCCTTAGCCACTAGGCTATGAGGCCAGCCCACTTTTGACTTTCAATATGATAAAATTCATAGACTCTTGAGATTTGAAATGTATCTAGTAGATCATCTAATTCATATCTTTACACTCTCATTAGAATCTAATTAGGCCAAAAGGGAAATTAAAAATCAGTCAATCAATAAACACAACTCTTAGAGAAGATACAGGCCCTAACCAGAAGGATCCTGAAGGTTAACAACATGTGGATTAGAAACATTAAAAAAAAAAAAAAAAACCAAGACAAAGAATATATCTATTTCCCTTCATGACTTGAAATAGTAAGGTCTATAATGTTGGAGGAATAATCTTGAGGTAAAAACAGCATTTTTTTAAAATTAAGCTTTGAGAGAAGCAGAGTCTGTTTTGCTAATGGATAGACTAGACTAATAAAGCTTTTTTTTAAGATCCTAAAAAAAAAAAAAAAGACAAAAAATTGTTCCTCTAGCTACCAGTGTTGGAATTGCCCCTTTTATAGCACAGATTCTTCATTCACACACTGCCAAGAGTTTATCAAATGCCTATACAGACCCAGGTGGTCTGAAGTCAGATCAGATTTTGTCTAAATAAAGTAGGATGAAAAATCTGAGTATTTTCAGAAATTTTTGAACTTTGGAGTTGCACATAAGGGCTGTGGGCCTGCAGAAAAGCATTCCATTTGGAAGGCTGCACTTCCTATCCTACAGATCTGACCTGGCCTCATGCATCATCATGTTTTAGCTTTAAGACAATGGGGTTAGTTTTTCTTTAAGTTTTTGATATATGTAGGTAAAACTTGTATGTGTTCAGTAATACACAAAAACAATACAGTGGAGCTTAGAAAGCACTTTTATAAGGTTAGATTACATACTAGGTAATATGTGTGATATTAGTAATATAACTATATGCATAAAAGATAAGGTTGCTTTTTAGCCCATCCCTGACTTAGCCCCTCTAGATCTGCTCTGTTTCCAGCCATTATAGTAATCAAGTAGCATTCCACTTTTAGATCTCCAATTACTCGATTGTGCCTTTCTGCCTGATTAGTTTGACCATTATAACAAAAACAGCTCAGCAACTCTGAGGCCCCTAATCATGTATTCAGCACCTGACAATGTTGACAACCTGACCATGGGACGTGGCTAGGAGATGTTTTCTTGCCCATGAATCTAGTTAAAAGTTAAGTCCCAGAAAACTTACCAAATTTTACAAGAAATGTTGAAAATATTACAAAAAGGAGTCATGATCATTTCTAATTAAATAAAACACCATGGATTGATAGTGGATTCCTGCTAGGGAATCATCAGGTAAAATTATTTAAAACACATTATAGTTGACACTTTTCTGCAGACCTTACTCCCTCCTTTCTCTTAAAAACATCTCGTTCGTTATCCAGGGGTTGAGTGTTTGAGGTAGTTTGGTTAATTATAGGATTCACCAAAGCACAGCACATTAGAAAAACCATGTTCTGTCAGAAAAGCCACATGCTATATCCCAATTTAAAATAAAAAACTTTAAAAATCAACAGCTGTTGAGAACCAACAGTTAGCGTAATGGCTATGTCGACCGCGATTCGCGTCCCGGACCCGGTGGCTTAAAACTCATGCCGGGCGCGTGTGCATGCCCAAGATCCCGAGAGGAGAATGGAGGAGAAGGGATTGCGGCGTGACCATCCCCCCTGGGGGGGTGATTTCTCGCTTTCTGTCTCTATGTCTCTCTCTGTCTGTGGCGAGCGCATGCACCCTATAGCGAAAAACTCTCCAAAAAAAAAAAAAAATCAACAGCTGTTTAGATGACCTTATCTTTAGTCCAGGCCATCTTGGAGGTTGGCTGTAGGCACTATATATAGGGAGGGCTATGGAACAATCCAGAAAATACCTTATGCAAGTACTTCAGAAACTGAGGAGAGTACTCACGTTGAGGACAGAACAGTCACACAGAGGCTAGAGGAGTCTGGCTGGGCATAGGGAGAACAGTGTTGGTGCCAGAAAATCTGTCTGTGGTTGTTTCTGCAGCCTGGTCTTGATGGAATCATGCAAATGAATGTGTGCTATAGAAAAACAGGACTAGATGTAGGAACTAAAAACTAGTTTGATGAGACCTAATTGGGTCTTAGACTCAGCAAACCACTGTGAAATCCACCCAAGAGGAGCTAATATGGACATAGGAAGCAGTTTCTCCATCTAAAGTCCAAGAGGAGAATCCTGGAGGAATAGAGAGACAGCAATGTAAGCAGCCCGACACATTCTGTGACCATCCAATGCCACAGCCCTTAATGGCGTGCCGCCCACATGCAGAATACCTGGGTGCACCACTAGAAGATAAAAGGATGCTAAAGATAAACAAGACCCTGCAGTTACACATGTGGGAAGGAAATCTAACCTACCAAATTTGACCTAAGTCTTTATAAGCTGTTATGTCCTAAGGGACTTCAAGTTAGTTATCTATTTAGTGCATTTTTTGAATTATTTTCTTCCTGAATCAGCCCACAGCCTAATAGTTAAGGGAGCTAGATCCCACAAGACTGACCATGTTTTGAACTCCAACCCTTACAGTTTGAATCCCAGCCTTTGTGACTTGAAAAAACCCTCCAGGCACATGTGTTTGCCTAAAATGCCAACAGCATGGAGAAATGGAGGCGAAGAGCCTGCATAGAACCACACCCCCATCGGCAGGTGCTTTCTCACACTCTCTCACTTTGTCTCTCTCTTTGGAGAGTATACTCTGGCAATTAAAAAATACTCCTTTTTCTTATTTTTATATTACGTAAGGGACAATACACACATTTTAGAATCTTGTTTAAGCACTGTTGACTAAGTGGTCTTCAGTGATACTTAATTTGTGTGAACTTTGCTATTTATTTTTTTTAGAGGATTTTTGCCTTAGGGCAACATGCACTCACCAGAGAAAGAGAGAAAGACAGAGACAGTGAGAGGGAAAATGAGAAATCACCTCCTGGAAGGTGGCCATCCCCAATCCCTTCTCCTCCATTCTCCTCCTGGGATCTTGGGCATGCACACACACACACACACACACACACACACACACACACACTCACCCTTACCATGAGTTTCAAGCCACTCGATCCAGAACTTGAACCACAGTTGGTCATGTGGGAGTCCAGTGGCATAACTACTATGCCATCTGCTGGTCCTGAGCTTCACGCATTTTTAAAATGGTAATGATTTCTATTTAGTGTGATAACTGATTTTCCTATTTACAGATGATAAAACAGGAGCTTAGAAAGTTTGAATAACTCACTCAAAGATACACAGTTTGAAATCTGAACATGTAGTCATCTCTTCCTCCTACCAACTGTTTCCCGTTAGGCTCACCATGTTTTCTGACAAATGCACTGGAAAGTGACCAGTTAGTCAGAAGATATTTATTGAATTCCAAGAGTAAAAAATTTTTGTCTATCCTTACCTGGAAAAAAAGACATTTGGAATAGTTCATCGCAAACTTTCTACAGGACTTAATGGAATCAAGAATTTATAGGAGGCATTAATATCATTGAAGCATACATAACCTATGTATGAGGTTAAGGATCTTATCAAAATCCCAGGGCCTCCACTTGGTATTTCATATACCACAGCAGAAACAGCATTTATCAAAAAAGGTCCAACAGATGAAATAAGTGAAAGATGTTCCAGGTGACACCTATTGAGCAAATTTTTGAATTAAGAATGAATAACAATTCATTCATAATGATGATTTGTTGAACCAAAACAAATGCTTTTGATCCTTATGTTCTGTACCAGACTCAATGCGTCAGATTCTTTCTTCTTCCACTCTTATTTATTCCTCCATGATTCCATTATCTTCTACACTGCCTGTACCATTATCCTATCAGAAATGTTTGCAAAATTCTGGTGCAAATACTATGGCTGCAAGTAGCAAAAAACCTGATTCCAAATGGCTTAACCAATAAGAAAATTTATCTCACAAAATTCAAAACTTATGTAGATTTCAAGTCAGAAATTTAGATCCTTCACTAAAATCCTGTCCATTGTTGTTTGTATTGAATTGTGTTCCCCAGAAAAACATGTTAATCTCCTAACTCCTAGTATCTTAATTTAAGCCTTTATATGGAAATAGAAGTAATCTATTTAAAAATGAGATAATGAATATGGACCCTAATACAATATAACTAGTGCTCTTAAAGAAAAGGTAAATTTGGAAAAGACTTTGAGGAGGGATGGTGATGTGAAGACATACACGAATAGCCATGTGATGGGAATGGCATCAGTAAACCAATATACTCCAAGAAATGCTGGCAAACACCCAAAGCTAGAAAATGAAGAGAAGATTTTTCCCTAGAGTCGTAAGAGAAATCATGTCCCTGTCCACAACACAAGTT